CGCTCCGGGCTGCATCTCGCCTCAAATCACATGCTTATTACGATTATAGATCAGCCTAGTATATCCCATCCTCCCCAGACGCTCCAGCCTGCATCTTCCATCATCCCCAGATACTCCAGCTGCATGTCCCATCATCCCCAGAGGCCCCAGCCTGCATCTCCCATCATCCCCAGATTCTCCAGCCTGCATCTCCCATCATCCCCAGACGCTCCAGCCTGCATCGCTCATCATCCCCAGATTGCATCTTCCATCATCCTCAAATACTCCAGCTGCGTGTCCCATCATCCTCAGAGGTCCCAGCCTGCATCTCCCATCCTCCCCAGATTCTCCAGCCTGCATCTCCCATCCTCCCCAGACGCTCCAGCCTGCATCTCCCATCATCCCCAGATTGCATCTTCCATCATCCCCAGATACTCCAGCTGCATCTCCCATCACCCCCAAATACTCCAGCTGCATCTCCCATCCTCCCCAGCCTGCCCCTCCCATCCCCCTCAGATGCCCCAGCCTGTCTTTTCCATCATCCCCAATACTCGGGGAAAGCGCAGCTGTTGCAAGCCGGGCGAGGCGGCTCCCGGGCGCCCGCTTGCAAAACGCAGCCGCGCCCCCTTCCCTTCTCTTCCCCAGCGAGGGCGGGCAGAGCTCGGCGGCTGCCGGGCGCCCGCTAGGCGGTGCTGGGCGCTGCAGGAGGCGCGGGGCCATCCCTGGGCGGTGGCCGGGCGAGGCGCTGAGCAGAGGCGCTTTCCCTCCGTCTCCGCCGCCAGCATGAGCTCCGCGCCGGGCTTCCTGGAGGCCGGGGCCGTGCAGAAGCACTGGCCCGCCTCCCGCGCCCTCCTCGCGGCTCTGGAAGCCGCCTTGGCCGCCTTCTCCAGCGGTCCCGAGGGCGGCGTGGTGCAGCCGCTGCGCACCGTCCTCCCCATCCAGAAGCACAGCGGGTAAGCCCCGAGGGGAGGGGAGAGAAGGGGAGGGGTCGTCTGGCAGAGCTCAAATCTGGCCGTCACTTGAGGACCAGCTTGTACCCCCTTCCCTTGTTCCTTCTCCGAAGCTTTTTAGGGGTCATGCCCGCTTACAGCGCAAAGGACGATGCCCTGACAACCAAGCTGGTGACCTTCTATGAGAATGTGTCTCCTTCGCATCAAGCCTCGGTCCTGTTGTTTGACCCAACAAACGGCACCCTCAAGGCGGTAAGTTCTGGAGTCCTTCCACGGACAGCCCCTGCAGGAAGGGGTTGAGCGGCTGAATTACCTGGAGAGCTCAAGGCTAGAAACCGGGAGACGGTGAGTTCTAGTCCTGCCCTAGCCATGAAAGCTGGCTGGGTGACTTTGGGCCAATCACCAGGAGACGGTGAATTCTAGTCCTGCCTTAGCCATGAAAGCTGGCTGGGTGACTTTGGGCCAATCACCAGTAGCTACCAAGGTGAGGTCCTTTAGTAGTAGACCAAATAAGGATCAAAAGTAGACGGTGAATTCTAGTCTGGTCTTAGGCATGAAAGCCAGCTGGATGACTTTGGGCCAATCACCAGGAGACAGTGAGTTCTAGTCCTGCCTTAGGCATGAAAGCCAGCTGGGTGACTTTGGGCCAATCACCAGGAGACAGTGAGTTCTAGTCTGCCTTAGCCATGAAAGCTGGCTGGGTGACTTTGGGCCAATCACCAGGAGATGGTGAATTCTAGTCTGGCCTTAGGCATGAAAGCCAACTGGATGACCTTGGGCCAATCACCAGGAGACTTTTGCTTTTTATTTCTGTTTCTCATGTTCTGGCCCTGTCCCTTGATGTTCTCGTTTCCAAAAGGTGATGGATGGCAACGTCATCACAGCCAAGCGTACGGCAGCTGTTTCGGCAATAGCTACCAAGGTGAGGTCCTTTAGTAGACCAAATAAGGATCAAAAGTTGTTCAATTGTTGTATGTTTATTTATTTGGAGAATTCATATGGCCACCCACACATTCTGAGATGTTTAGCCCAAAGGTCTTCACCCAACATTTTCCAGGGATGTGGAGGACTATGCAGGAAGTCCTCAACAACCATTTGTTGGACGGTTCAAAATTACAGCCTTGGAAGAAGTAACTGCACTCACCTTTACTCGTATTTACAAGCATCCTGCGGTCACGTGACCACGGTTTGTGACCTTTTTTGCCAATTTCCGGCCCAAAAAATGTCCATCGGAGAAGGTGGATTTGCATAACGATTGTCACAGTCATATTTAACAAGAATTCTCTCTCTCTCTCTCTCTCTCTCTCTCTCTCTCTCTCTCTCTCTCTAATATGTGCATTCCCAGTATTTAATGCCTGCAAATTCAGAGGTCCTCTGCATTCTGGGAGCTGGTGTCCAGGCCTACAGCCACTACGAACTTTTCACAGAGCTGTTCTCATTTAAAGAGGTGGGCAATCTGATTTACACCAGAAAAAAAAACCTGTCGTTTTAAACCATACGAAGCCATTTCTGGATAGCTTCGATCAGTGTTTTGCAAAACCCCAGGATAATAAAAACAAAGACAAATAGGCTGAAAAATAGTTTTTATCCCAGAGCTGTAACCATATTAAACACTACTATATAGTGCAGGGGTCTTCAAACTTGGCCCTTTGATGACTTGTGGACTTCAACTCCCAGAATTCCTCAGCCAGGCACCTGTCATAAAAGGGCCAAGTTTGAAGAACCCTGGTCTAGTGCAACATTGAAGTGCACTATTAGGGGCAGCGCAGTGATGAATAGAATGTGAAGGATGTGTATATATAATGTATGTTTTTTATTTCTGGTTTTTACTTGTGTGTAGTGTGCACTGTGGACGGCGCTTAATTTCACTGTAAGATACACGACGACAATAAAGATTCTATTCTATTTCCCATGAAGGTTAGAATCTGGAACCGCACCAAGCAGAACGCGGAAAAATTTGCTCAGATGGTGAATGGACCGGTCCAGGTGTGTTCCTCGGTCCAGGAGGCTGTCCGCGGGGCCGATGTGATTGTCACAGTCACAATGGCAACTCAGCCCATCTTGCACGGAGAGTGGGTAAAACCCGGAGCTCACGTCAATGGTAAGGGATGCGTGGGATTTGATATTTTTTTCTGCAATAAGGTTACAATTCAGGCTTGTTTTCCTACTGAGCTAGTGTGTGTGGTATGTTTTCCTTGAGCTATGGGTTCGGATTGCCAAAGGATAAAAGCGGAAGGAATTTGAACAATTTATTAGATGATAATTCCTGTTAACACAAGAAGAGAGCTTGGAAAGCAATGTTGTAGCCACCATTAACGGTAGGATGACCTACCGTTCAAGGATGTTGTTCCTAAAGATTTTATGCATTAGCTGGGGCTGAGCTGGATGACCTCTCATGTTCTGCCACTTCTGTACTTGTTTTCTGTACTTGTAGTTCAGTAACCAGCTGAACTACAAAAATAGCAGCCGCTCTTGGACCATGTGCTAACTGAACTTTGGTGAAGTTAATGGGTTGAGTAAACTCCAGCTATTTGGTGAGTTAATATAGAACTTAAATCCTGCAATGCAGAAAAAAATAGAAAGTGTTGGACTTCTTCGCCTACTCTGTCTCTCTGTGCCTTTGTTCTCATCTGCACAAAAAGGACTTAAAGAGAGTCTTCCACTTCCACTTCCACTTACTAAATAGTTGATGTAAGACGGTGAGAACTCAAATAGATAAGACGTGTATTCTGAACATTAGATCTTGTGATGAATTGTGATAAAGGGAACTGGGGTTATTTAAAATGTGGAAATTATAAATATTAAATGGGAAATATAAATATTAACGGGAAACCAAAAACTGGGAAAAATTAATCAGGATGTTGATTGTCTAAAAAGACTGAATGTTAAAACAACTAGGATATGTGTAAACTAAAAAATTATGGATACATGCAAGAAAGTTATTTTTTATTTAATTGATATTAACAAGAATTGTACTAATGTAAAGATGAGACAGTAAATACTAAGGGGAAAAGGGGTGAAACATTTAATGTAATAGTTTGAGATCTGTACTAAAGATATTTGTACGTTATGGAATTATTGACCGACTCAGCCGCCACGTTGCTTTTCCAATGCTTAAATGTAAAACTAGAAAACCAATAACACTGAAACCGTCATAAGTACATGCCAGTTGCCAAGCGTCTGAATTTTGATCGTGTGACCACGGGGATGCTGCAAGGGTCCTATGAAAAAAAGGGTCATAAGGCTCTTTTTTCAAGGTCGTCGTAACTTTGAACAGTCACTAAACGAGAACTATCTGTGAAAGCAGCTGAACTACAAAAACAGCAGTTGGGCTTATGTACCACCTGCCATTTTGTGTTTTAGCTGTCGGAGCCAGCCGGCCTGATTGGAGAGAACTAGATGACGATATAATGAGGAATTCGGTATTGTATGTCGATTCGAAAGAGGCAGCCCTGCGCGAATCAGGAGACGTTATTTTATCGGGGGTAAGGAAGTTGAATCGGTTCCCCCCGTTTTCCTTGTCTTTCTTTCTTTTTTAGCATTTTACTGGGGGGGTCTTCAAAGGGTACCTACCCCACGCCAGGGGGTTTGTTTGAAGCTGCTTCAGTGACTTAAGACTGTTGGCAGTTTGGAGGGCGCCTTCAGTGACCGAGCGATATTTGTTTCTCAGGCAAGCGTTTTTGCAGAACTCGGCGAGGTGATCTTGGGAAGCAAACCAACCCTGCGGGAGGAAACCACGGTGTTCAAATCACTGGGTAAGGATCAGTCCCACGGAGCGGTTTGGTCTAGGGGTGAAGGCACCAGACTAGAGACCAAGAGACAGTGAGTTCTAGTCCCGCCTTAGCCATGAAAGCTAGCTGGGTGACTTTGGGCCAATCACCAGGAGATGGTGAGTTCTAGTCCCGCCTTAGCCATGAAAGCCAGCTGGGTGACTTTGGGCCAATCAACAAGGAGATGGTGAGTTCTAGTCCCGCCTTAGCCATGAAAGCTAGCTGGGTGACTTTGGGCCAATCAACAAGGAGATGGTGAGTTCTAGTCCCGCCTTAGCCATGAAAGCTAGCTGGGTGACTTTGGGCCAATCACCAGGATATTGGGAGTTCTAGTTCCACTTTAGGCCTGAAAGCTGGCTGGGTGACTTTGAGCCAATCATCAGGAGATGGTGAATTCTAGTCCCGCCTTAAGAATGAAAGCCAGCTGGGTGACTGAGATAATCACGAGGAGATTGAGAGTTCTTGTTCCACTTTAGGCCTTGAAAGCTGGTTGGATGATTTGGGGCCAATCACCAGGAGATGGCGAGTTCTAGTCCCGCCATCGACATGAAAGCCAGTTTTGATTTGGGGCCAGTTGCTCTCTCTTGACCCCACTCACCTCGCGGGGTTGTTGATGTGAGGAAAATGAGGAGGAGGAAGAAATATTAAAGTCATTTGTAAAAATAATAAAGTGAGATATCAGCTAACATATATATATATAATAAAGCCAGGGAGGCAACTCCTAAACAATGGAATGTCTCCATTCCTGACACAAACCAACTTCTAGCTAGTTCAAAACCTGGATGTTTTGGTTGCTTGTATTTTTCCTGAATGCTGGGTACAAGATGAGGGCTGTAGAAAAGGCTTCCGTTTAGCAGCCTCAGAGAACAGGACTGAAATGATTACTCTAATCCTCATCTGCCAAACTAGGATGGTTGATGGTTTTCCTCCCCCCATTGTCTGTGATTTTTTTAATCTTTTTCAGGAATGGCCATTGAAGACACCGTGACTGCAAAACTGGTCTTTGAATCTTGGTCAGCCAGTGGATGAGGGCGCAACCTTCTGATCAGGCCACAGAATAATAAAAGGAAGATCACGTCTGAACGAAAACGGCTAAGATTGCACAATAAGCTGTCTTACTATGTTACAATCGCAAGATAAATAGTAATGTAACAAAAGAAATAATTTTTCTTGGCGTTTCTCAAGCCGAGCGACTTTAAGATGTGTGGACTTCAACTCCCAGAATTCCCCAGCCTGCCTGGAATTCTGGGAGTTGAAGTCCATATATCTTACAGCATGCTGGCTGCAGAATTCTGGGAGTTGAAGTCCACCCAACTTAAAGCATGCTGGCTAGGGAATTCTGGGAATCGAAGTCCACTCATCTTAAAACATGCTGGCTGGGGAATTCTGGGAGCTGAAGTGCTGGCTAGAGAATTCTGGGAGTTGAAGTCCACATATCTTACAGCATGCTGGCTGGGGAATTCTGGGAGTTGACATCCACCCTTCTTAAAGTCGCTGATCTTGAGAAATCACTGCTTTATCTAATTATTCTAATGTGAATCAATCTTCTTTCCATGTATTTGGATAGTGACTTTAATTCAAAGTTTACAGCATCCTAAGGATAAACGTAGACTGTCTCATCTCTCGAAGGCTACATTGTTAGTTCCACTAAATCGTTCACTGTGTTAGCTCTAGTTTTATTTTTATATGTTCAGAGATTCCAAAACTAAAATTTTACCTATTTGGGAGCCTGTCGATGACCTTGGTCTCAGATTTTCTCTCTGAAACCTGAAATAATAATTTTAGAATATAAGATTCTACAATCTGATTTCTGCTTAACATGTAACGATTTTCACATACATTTTGCATTTAATGGCATACACTTTGCCTTTCTTTTTATTACTGGCAAATAGACAATCAAGAACCATAGGAAAATAATTGGCTAGAACGGGTTTTCAAAGTGGTTTTAAGAAAGTTCTGCCTTTTTAAAAAAATAAAAATAGAAAAAATGTTGGGGTCAATCAATATTGATGCAAAATGGGTGTCGATTGTATTTCCTATACTGTAGTTGGTAACAACAATAAAGTTAACATTTCAGAAAATTACAGTTCCCAAGCATTCATTTTTGTTGTTCAATACAAAGCGTCAACGGCACTCAAGGGAGATTCTGGGCTTCGTTCGCTTGTGACTATGTATGGATTCTAGGCTGATGCCTCTTTTAACTCCACCCCTACATTCTGCCACTTCTCCTGCTACAGTGTTTAAACTCGAGGCCTCTTCATCCTGCTCTCCTGAATCAATGGCTACTTGGCAATGTTGAAGCTCAGAGGTTGTGAGATTTGCACAGTGGTCATCTCTGGCTCCCTCTCATCCTCCTCAACCTTTATAAAGAAAGAGGAACTGTTTGTGGAGTGGGGTGCCAAACCATTGACCGGAAGCACCGGCATTCTCGGTTTATAATTGGGTATCCTTGACTAGGCCTGGCTTTTCCAAAGCTAGCTTCCTTTTGCTGATTGCCTGGAGAACTTTCTTGCGGGGGCCTAGCTGCATCTGGATGCTCTGCAGATCTTCGTCGGAACAAAGCATCAGGCTTTCCAAATCGATGTTTTCACTCATCAGGATGGGGAGAAATTCGTGGAGATGATGGGCGACCAGGAACACTTCAAGGGGAGGAGCTTCTTCTTTGTCCTCATCCCACCCAACGGCTTCTTCCATCCAGGAAACTTCAGGGTCATCCTCATTGTCTGAATCACCAAGGGCCTCCTTGAGTTGAAAGAGCTCCGGAATTTGAAAGGCCCGGTCCTCTTTCTCGGGAAGCAAGGTCTCCGTCTTCTGGCTTCTAAAGACGAGGTTGCCAAGACCCGGGCGGTTGAAAATAGACCTGTGTCCTGACTCCTCCCCATCTTCAGAAAAGCCAATTTTCTTTTGAAAGCCACACATCAGGTCTTCTAGATCCTTCTCACAAGGTGAACCCATCATGGCTGTTTCTCCAGTGACGCCCTCCTCCTCGGCTCCACCGCTCCTGGCGGTGCTGTTCTCCTCTTTCTTTCTGTTCCTCAGTTTGAAGGTGTCCTTCAACTGCTTGGGGACATCACTGAGGGAGCCGCTGGCGAAGAACTGAGAGACTTTTGTCCTGGTGGTGGAGTTGTGACTCAACTGGAGGGATCCTTTCTTGAACTGCTTGGTCATCTCCAGCTGGTGCTTCTCCTGGCGTCTCTCACACAGGCGGACCTGTCGCTGCACCTCCTGTTGGGCCTGTGCCTTCAGACGGGCGACCCGCTTGGGGTTTTTGATGTTTTGCTCGGTGGCGGCCTTGTCAAGAATCTGGACGCATTGATACTGGCTCCGACCGGCCGCTGCGTCGAGGGGCGAGCGTGTGTCGTTGTCGAGGGCGAAAATGTTGGCGCCAAAATTGATCAGGAAGGAGACGCAGGGGGTGTGGCCGTTCGAAGCCGCATGGTGTAGCGGTGTGTTCCCCCAAATGTCGCATGCGTTCGGATCGCCTCTGAAAGGACACAACAGAGATGGCTTAGAGTCCCATCCTCTTCCTTGATAGCAGCTTTTTTTCCAAACAGAAGTCCTCCGGATGTACTGGACTCCCACTCCCATAATCCCCAGGCTAGTTAGCTGGGGATTATAGGGGCTGAAGTGCAACACATTGTGGTATCAACTTGAGACCACAATGGAGCTCAAAATTTCCATGGCTAAGCCAGGCGGTTGTTAAGTGAGTCTGGCCCCATTTTATGACCTTGCTTGCCACAATTGAGCAACACTGCAGTTATTAAATGAATCACTTGGTCGTTAAAGGAATTTGGCTTCCCCCATTGCCTTTGCTTGCTGGAGGCCAGTGGGGAAGGTTACAAATGATGATCACATGACCCCGGGAGAGGGCAACTGTCATAAGTACATGCCAGTTGCCAAGCTTCTGAATTTTGATCACGTGACCCTGGGGATGCTGTAATGGTTTTAAGAGTGAAAACCAGTCATAAGTCATTTTTTCTTGGTTCCTGTTGTAACTTTGGTCACTAAACTAACCGTTATAAGTTGAGGACTGACTACAGGCCACCAGGTTGGGGATGCTGACACAGAGACCAATTTGCAAAGATTATAAGAAAGCACAGAAGCTGATGTGTTATAATGGGTATTCTAGGCGGCCATTTTTTCCCCTGCAAGCAAAACAACTAGCATCTCAAGAAGATAACTCAAAGTGTACATGTTCCCTGACATGCTACGTATATTTCTCAGTGCAGGGGTTTCAGTGCAAGGGGGGAAGAGGATCCCTGTATCCCTGCAAAAGAACAATGGCAAAAATGCATAGCTTTCCAAGGAGTTATTTTCTAAAATCAGTTTCGGTCTTTTCTTTTGAATTTTAAATCCCGAGGCTTAGAGCAAGATTTCCTCAATAATGCGTTCCCATGGGGAAAACGCTGACTGATCATCACTTAAATTGTCTCCTTTTTCCCCTCACTCTTCCAAAAAACAGGGGCATGTATCTATTTCTTTCCCTGTTTGTTTTATTCTCCTAAGGGGGTGGTTAGGATTCACACACTGCCTGGATTCACACACTCCATGCAAAGTAGTTCTGCTTCAAGTTCTGGCCACCACGATATGAAAAAGATGTTGAGACTTTAGAAAACGTGCAGAGAAGAGCAACAAAGATTATTAGGGGACTGGAGGCTAAAACATAAGAAGAACAGTTGCAAGAATTGGGTATGTTTAGTTTAATGACAAGAAGGACCAGGGGAGACACATTTAGCAATATTCCAATATTTGAGAGGCTCCTACAAAGACGAGGGGGGGGGGGTCAAACTATTTCCCAAAGCACCAAAAGGCAAGACAAGAAACAATGGTTGGAAACTAACCAAGGAGAGAAGCAACCTAGAACTAAGGAGAAACTATTAGTTTATGTTCTATGTTCTAGAACTGCACCGCCATTCAACCCAATTCTCCTTTGAAAAAAAAAATCCTGGAGGAACCCATATTTCAACCAATGAATTGGAAGGAGCCAAAGCCAGCTTCTCTGCCCAGCACCAGCTATAATATGGGTGTCAAACAACTGAACAGTTTAAAGGTCACATTTATTAGCTGCTGCATACGACAAGCAATAAAAAAAAAAAGCACACCTGGTGTAAAAGCGAGCGGGGGAATGGCGGTGCTTCTTCCTCTTGCTGTTTGGTGAAGTTCTCACCGCCCTCTTCCAACCTTGTGCTGTTTCCACAAATCCTGGAAGGCTTTTTAACCCGGGACTCTTACATGCAACCGTGCAAACAGCCTATGAGACAGGTGAGAATGCATGCCCACCAGGATGCGAAGGAGAACTTGGGGTTCAGCTATCCAGCATTTGGCCTAGACAGCTAAGCTTCCCCCCCCCCCTCCAAGTCTACGAGTTGGTTCACACAACACTTTTCTCAGCCTTACCAGGTCGTCCAGACAGAAAACATTTTACTTGATCGCAAAGCCAAATTAACCAAATCTTGCAAGTGTAAAAGTACGGTTCCCCCGTTGTCACCTTTATAGCATGAGAAACGAGGGAGGGTCCTTCTTGGCTCTCTTTGGTCACCCATTAAAGGTCGTCTTTGACTTACAACTGTTTGTTTAGTGAGAGTTTGAACTTATAAAGGCACTGAAAAAAGGGATTTATGACTGATTTTCATTCACGGCCGTTTGCAGCATCCCCAGGGTCCCGTGATCAAAATTCGGACACTTGGAAACTGACTCATATTTATGACGATTGCTGTATCCCAGGGTCACGTGATCCTCTTTTGTGATCCTCTAGTGAGCAAAGTCAGTAGGGAAGCCAGATTCACTTCACAACCATGTTACTAACTTAACAACCGCGTTGATTCGCTTATCACGCTTAGCCTTAACAACTTATGCCCCAACCCAGCCCATTTGGGGCCATGACACAACGGCTCTCCTTCTGCCCTCCCACCCATCTCAGCTCAGTCCCCAAAACCGGAAAGCTAACTTAGGTTGAATAGCAAAAGGGCTCTCCAAATTTAGGACTTGTGAACTCCCAGAATTCCCCAGCCAGCCAGCCAGCCCTCAAGGAGGATCTTTAAGCAATGGCTGCCTGCCGAATTTTGGGAGCTGAAATCCACAAGTCTTAACGATGGCAAGCTTGGAGACCCCTGGATTTGGCCACGCTTCTCTCTTCTTCCCCAAAGATGATTTGGGGTCGGGAACCCCCAAGCCTGCCGCCACTCACCCCCTCCTGCAAACGATCTCCAGAGCTTCGACATTGCCATGGTATGCCACCAGCAGAGTGGGGGTCATGCCATCCGCATCGGCGATGTTGAGGTCCTTCCGAGTGGCTTCTTTGAGTAATTCCAGGTTGCCGTCCGCAGCTGCTCGGTGGAAACGAGTGGACATCTTCCTGGTTGGTTGGTGTCGGCCGTGGGAGGATGAGGAGGAGGCCCAACCTGCTTACTCAGCCCCACGCTTCTCCCAAGGCTGTGGCTGCTTCCTCCCAGCAGACGGGACTCTTTGATGACCTGGCAGATGACGAGGAAAGCAAAGGTTATTTATTCCCCGCGATTTATTTGCATAGGACATTTCATCCTCCAGAGAGCAGGCGGGTTGAAAAATCTTACAGCCTTGGCTGCTGTTTGAAAAAAAGAAAGAAAAATGAAGAGAAGTGCGCTTTTGAAGCCTTTTTTATTTATTGATTTCATCAATTTCTACGGCCGCCCAATTCACACACAGGTGACTTACTAGGTGTATAACATCACCTGGGAGAGCCAGAAACGAGGAGGCTCTGAGTTCTAGTCCCACTCTTGGGCAGGGAGATGGGGATGATTAAAGGAAAAAAAATATTATTTTTTGCCTGTCGGGGATGGTTTGAGAATGCTGGCTGGGGGCTTCTGGGAGCTAAAGTCCACTTCTCTTAAAGTTGCCAAGTCTGAAAAACATTGCACTAAGTTATGGGGGGGGGGGGGGGT